TTTTACAATCAGAAATTTTATTTTACTTCTTATCAGCAGCACCAATTTTGTAACTTACGTTGATATTATTTCCCCTTTAGTCAGCTGTCAGAGATAAGCTGATACCATTTATTTTGATCTAAGCAATGCACTCAACCTTGCCCACATCCTCTTCTTCTTCATAAACTTAAGTGTTTTTGGGCTATATGGTGGCTATGTCAACTGGTTTCGCAGTTACCTATCCAACCAGAAATCTCAGGTCTGTGTTTCTGGTGTTCTTTCCTTGCCTTTTGAAGTTCTCTCTGGTATTCCTCAGAGATTTGTCCTGGGACTTCTCCTCTTCAATGTGTTTATTAATGACATATGTGATGCAGTTGTCCACTCTAAATATCTACATTTTGCTGATGATATCAAAATTTACCGACCCATTAGATCTCCTCAGGACTGATATCTTCTTCAGTCTGACATTAACTCTACACAAGGTTGGTGCATTGCTAACTGCATGAAACTCAACATCAGTAAAACTAAAGTTATATCCTTCTCCAGGAAAATCAACATTTTTTTTTTGGCAATACAGCCCCAGTGGGCCTAGGCCTACCTCCATGAACTTCTCTGTTCACTTCGGTTTTTCTAGATCTTACACATTCGGTAGGACTCTTTGGGCAGGTGACCAGCTCGTCACAAGGCCTCTACCTGTATGCAAATGCAGAAAAACGCACACACACAAACTAAACATCCATGCCCTGAGTGGGATTCGAACCCATGATCCCAGTTTCCAAGCGAGCAAAGACAGTACATGCCTTAGACCGCTCAGCTACCGTGACCGGCAGGAAAACCAATATACGGATCTATAATTATAAACTTTGCCAATTCTTTATAACCCAGACCGACTCTATAAAGGACCTGATGCTAAATTTCATTTCCATGACCTTGTCAAGTATATTTTCTCTCATTGTATTAAGCTATTGGGTCTAATTCATAACATTACTTTCAATTCCTCTTCTCTAGACTGTATGCTCAGACTGTACACCGCATTAGTTAGATCTAAGATTGAATATGCGTCTCTAGTCTAGAACTGATTTATGTTAACTAATGCCAACAAGTTGGAATGCATCCAGGACAAGTTTGTGGTCCTCTGTTTTAATCATTTCTTTCCTGAAGTTCATTACTTTCATTCTCTTGCTCTGGAGGAGTTCAAATAGCACACTCTACATATTAGGAGGCACTGCCTCAGTGCTCTCTTTCTTACTCAATTTTACTTTGGTTTGAAATTCTGTCCTTCCATTTTGGACATTGTTGGTCTCTGAGTTCCTGCTCAGTATGTCAGAGACTTTGCATTGTTCAATGTCGGCTCCTCGTGTAAAGACTGTCCTTCTGCTAGATGCGCATCAGCTGCTAATGTTGTTTGCAGGGATGCTGAGATATTTGGAGCCAGGAACATTCTCAGTTGTTCTTCATAATATGCTATAACTGTTATTAATATTGTGACGTGGATGGTGCAACAGGAAGTAGGGGTCACGTGAACTCTGCAGTCTCGCAAGTGACATCACATACCCCCACTCCTTCCATCATTATGCAACACTCGGTGAACACCCCTCCTCCATGGTGACATAATAGGGGACACTGCGGTTACTACACAGCAATAAACAACTCTTGCCAGCGTTGCCCAGCAATGCCTGTAAACACGGCATTTACGCAACAGTGAAGCGATGTGGGTTTCCATTGTCCAACTGAGGGTTTATAAGGGAAACTGTAATGCGTAAGGAGAGAGTTAAAATGTAGCAGCCACCGAAGACAGCTGAGGTCTAGCAGTCACCGAGTTCAGTTGCAGCGAGTGAATTGTGAAGGTGAAGAAGACGTTATAAGTCTAGCAGCCATGATAAGAAGAGTTTATATGTGACAATCAGCGATAGTTGGTGATAACTGAGATGATACTGGGAGTGTGTAATTCAGTTACATTTGTATAGCTCCTGCATTATAAATACGTGAAGACTACTGAAGAGATTATTGTGTGGGGTTTGTAAATTTTCTAAACCCGCAACAGTGTTATAAGTATTTGTAATTACGACTTGTAGGTTGTTAAATAAACCAATTAACGATCTGAACTGCGTCTTCAGTAGCAAAACATGTTACAATATCATTATTGTTATTAACTTCTATGTGTGAAGTATGTGTATTGTCCTTTCTTGCCACATAATGGCATAACCACTGGAAATGTACTTATTTTATTTTTCTCATCTGTTAATACTAACTTTAATTTTTCTTGGAATTATTATTAATTTATTGCCATTATATAGACTGTCTTATTTTGTATTTTGTTTCTTAGTTATTTTTGTGTCTTTCTATGTACTCGTGCTAACTTTGTAATTGGACTCTGTGCCGTTAACCTTTAAATGCTGGGCTTTTGAAACAGTGGTAGCTTGAGCTGGCTGGAGTTTATTTAAATGCCTGCTGTTGGTGCATGTTTAAATGCCTGTTCCTGTTAGGGCACTTGCACTGTATTTGAAAATGCTGTATCTTATACAATTTTCATGATAAATGAATGGCATTAACTTTGTTTGTATTAGCAAAGAACACAGTGTCGCTTATTATAATGTAAGATTTGAAAACATGTAGACAAGAAGTTATAAACTACTTTTTTTTTTTACTTTTAATTATGATGCATACAGTAAAAATGGTTTCCCACTTCTTCACATAGTAGTTCTGCATTATAAAATCACTCCTGCTTGTAACACTTGAAATACAAGGGGCAGTCAAATGAAAACGGGTCACTACACATAACTCACACAGCGCCGCGCAAGTTGGTAACACTGGAATTTGCTTACGGTACGAACATCTGGTGGGGAGCCGGGAAAGCAGTGACAATGTACCCTTGCACACTAGTCGTTTTTTTATTGTGCTGGAAGTAAGGTTAGCACTACATGTGGTCCTCCAACATCAGTAATGGAGGCGAGTAAAGAAGAATAGCGAAGTGTAGTGCGCTTTTTGACTGCTGAAGGAGTAGGAGGACAAGAAATTCATCATCGCATGTCTGTTCTTTACAGTGAACACAGCATGTCACGTTCACGTGTGCTGGCGTGGCATAAGAGATTCCGAGAGGGACGTGCGTTACTGCAAGGTAATGTGTACCCAGAACAGGCTCATCGTATCATCACTCCTGATGTACTGCTGCGTTGGATGGTCATATCCAGACAAACTGACGGATTACTGTGGAAGAAATTAGTCTTTTGATGGTAATAAGTCACGGTTCTGTACACGCCATTGTGACAAAACACCTGCTGTACCGCAAAATCTGCACACAATGGGTTCCACATCAACTCAAGGAGGAACAGAAGACTCAGAGAATGGCTGCATCACTGGGTCACTTGCAATGATACCACGAGGAAGAGTATGCTTTTCTACCCCATATTGTCACTGGGGACGAAACTTGGTGCCACCATTTTGAACCCGAGAGCAAACGGCAGAGCCAACGGTGGAAACACGTTAATTCTCCCCCACTGAAGAAATCCAAAGCCATACACACAAGTTCCAGTAAAGTGATGACGACGTCCTTCTTTGACTGCAAGGGCCCACTGCTTGTCGAATTTCTTGAGCATTGGGTCACAATCAGTGCACAGCGCTATGAAGACACTTTGCAGAAACTGAGATGTGCCACAAAGTCAAAACGCCCTGGAATGCTATCGAATGGCATTATCCTTCTTCATGATAATGCGCGCCCCCACACTGCCAACTGTGTGAGGAATGCGCTACAGAGATTTGGTTCAGGAAGTGCTTCAAAGCTTTTTCAAGGATGGGACTGACCACCTTATCTCCCAGTGGGATAAATGTATTAACAGTTTTGGAGATTACTTTTGAGGTAAGAAATGTTCTTTAATATGTTTAGGCTTCTGACCCATTTTCATTTGACTGTCCCTCATATCTTTGCATTCTCTAGTGCCATAAACCAGCTGGAAGCAATAAGTCATTTGGTTCTCTGCTGGCAAGTTTCAAGTCCTTGTAACACCTTTCAGATATCCCAGTCTTTTGACTAAAGGAGTGAAAACATGACCTTTCTACAAAGGCTACAGAGTATATTTGTTGTTTGCCAATTCAGTGGGCCAAGCCCTGCCATTGCAGCAGCAACATAATATTGCCCTTTGCATGGTTGCAAACAAACACTTGTATCGCAGCTGAGATACAGAGTGCATTCAGTTTTCTGTGACGTCATAGTGAATTTGAATATTATAGATTCCTTCTATCATACAATGGTAACAAAATCTTGTTGGATGATGATGATGAAATTGAAAGGCAATGCAAGATATGTGGCATGAGACTGTGCTCTCGCATGCTTCAAGGAGTATTACATAAAGGTGAGACTCAGTTATATGACATGGGGGTTGTAGCCTGTATATACATCAAGCAGATAACAACAAAAAAGTATGTATATTGAATTTTACTATATTTAACAATAAATATTTGGGATTGTGCATATGCTTCTATTAGCGGAGGGTGTGCATGCTTCCGCTAGCAGAGTTTAAATGCCCGACTGCCCAAATCGGAGTACTTCGGCCACGACGACCATACTCACCACTGGACCGATCGGGGCACTTCGGATGTTAAAGGTTAAGTTTGCATGTAAATAAAGACGAATTGAATTGAACTGAATAATGCCTTCAAATAAGATCTAAAAGTTTGTGACAAAGGTACATTACTACAATTATTATGGTTCTGGACATTACCCATCATGTTTTTTTATTTAAAACATGTTTCAGGGATTTTATTGTTTCCATCTTCACATAAAATCCTACTGAGTTGGGCCCAACTGACAGAGCTAGTGTTGTCTCCAGAGATAGTGATAAATAATAATTGCAGTAATACCTTTAGTTAAAAACAGTCCTGTGTATGATATTTCCACTGAAGCTTAAAAACACAGAGAAAACTTTGATTTTGTTAAACTAAAAGTTAACGTCCGTTTTATCAACATTTTACTGGAAAATTTACGTGCAGAATCAGAGAATACTGATTGTAAGACTGATACTTACAGCTTCCATCCTGACATCATATTCTTCTAAATGGGGCCTTTTATTGCCTAGCAGGACATCCATGATGGATTGTGGAATGTGGGCACGCTGCAATTAACATATCCTTTTGTATATACACCTGAGAGTAAACTATATAAATTACAAAGTGAAACTCTGATTTAAGGGACTCACATTTACGTTTTCCTACATTTAATGTACGTTTTTTTTGTGGTTCCAGCCAGAGCTTCCCCAATTTAGCGTTTCCTGACTTACGCATGAAACTTTGATTCCTGTGCATGTTTCAAATCTTGTGTTAGAACTGAAGTGAAACTTTTGCTTGTTCAACCTTGCATATTTCTATATGATCACCTGCAAAACAAGCAATACAGTGCAGCTGTCTCCATCCATTCTTTTTTTTTTTTCGCTTAGTGTGAGGTGGAGTCCAACTGGGTCCACCCGGCACAGTGACCACTGATTGGCCAATTGTAGCCTGCCCCGGGTAAATATGATGATGGAGACTTTGGTGGAATGAAGATTGGCAGGGGAAACCGAAGTACTCGGAGAAAACATGCACCAGTGCCACTTTCTCCACCACAAATCCTACCTGACCAGACTCGGGACCAAACCTGGGCCGCCACAGTGAGAAGCCAGCAACTAACCACTTGAGCTATGGCACGGCCCTCCATCCATTCTTAGTTCATCCTTGTATCAAACGAAAGTCTTAATGTTTGTTCCTTCATGTTCTTTTCAAGTGTCATAGTTTTATGGAAGTGATTTTGAAGTAATGAATGTTCATGTTGTTTGAAGAGAAAGAAGATAATGATAAGCGAAAAAGTGAAAATTATTTAGCTGGCCAAGAAATCAAGCTGTGTCACAAAATGAAATCGTGAAGGGTTTTGTGCTACCGCCATGGTCATTAAGTAACATAAGTCTATGGAAAGCTTCAACTGTTGAAGATGACAAGTTGATATGGGTCACATTCTGAGAAATGGGGGTGGGGGAGCAAAAAGTCAGCAAACTGAAAACTTGAAACCTTATTACTGCAGTAGTTCCAACATATGAGTTCTGAAGAATTTCCAATAAATGGGCCTGTGTTACAGGAGAAAGCCACTACCATCATCTTGAGGCTGAAAACTGGAACTTTAAAGTCTCAAATGGATGGATGGACAAGAGTGCCAAGACATACATGGTGTGTTCAAAAAGTATCGAACCTTCTTTTTTCCTGCATAAACCAATGAAGCGCAGGAGGCTCCCTTCGGTAGAGATGTGGAGGGGACATTCATGCGCAGTAGTGAATTTTTTCCCCGCCCGCAGAAAGCGTTGGTCGCTGGCAGTCAGCCTATGAGTGAAGACGTGTAGTGAGCGCTCGTCAGATTCCAGTAAGGTGTAAAATGACCGAATAAAATGAGCAGCGATATTGCATCAAATTTTGACAAAAGCTTGGCGATACCCAAGTGGAAACCATTCGCAAGATTTAACAGGCTTTTGAGGACGATGCCATGAGCAACTCACGGATAAAGGAGTGGTACAACCGCTTCAAAGATGGCCGCACATCAGTGGACAGTGAACCGCGTTCAGGCAGACCCTCAACAAGCCAAAATGAGAATGTCGTTGAACAAGTGCGGACTTTGGTCATGGAGGACCGTCGTATCACAGTCCAAGAACTTGCGAACGAGATAGGGGTAAGCAGTGGATCGGTACATTCAATTTTTACGAAGGATTTGGGGATGAGGAGAGGGTCTGCGTAATTCATACCAAAACTGCTAACAATGGAGCAGAAGCAGCGCCATCTGGAAATCGCACAGGACATGCTGGACAATGCAAACAGTAACCCCAACTTTCTGAACACCGTGATCACAGGCAATGAGTCGTGGATTTATGGCTACAACCCGGAAACCAAGATGCAGTTGTCACAGTGGAAACATCCAACATCTCCGAGGCCAAAAAGAGCATGGCAGGTCCACAGCAATGTCAAGGTCATGTTGGCCGTTTTCTTCGACTCCCGTGGGGATGTGCATCATGAGTACGCACCACAAGGCCAAACCATCACAAAGGAATATTACCAAGAGGTCCTTCATCATCTCTGTGATGCTGTGCAGCGCGAACGACTGGATCTGTGGGCAGCAAAAACTTGGCAGCCCCATCATGATAACGCACCCGCCCATTCTGCGCATCTGATTCAGACGTTCGTCGCCAAACACAACATCCCTGTGGTTCGTCAGGCTCCCTACTCCCCCGACATGGCTCCGTGTGACTTTTGGCTATTTCCCAAGCTGAAAATGCCGCTGAAAGGAACCCAATTTGAGTCAAGAGGAGACATCATGCGGAATGTGATGGCCTGGCTGATCACCATTCCAAAAGACGCGTTCCAGAAGTGTTTCCAACAATGGTGGAAGCGCTGGGAGAAGTGTGTGCATTACCAAGGAGACTAGTTTGAAGGGGATTAGGGTTTTGTACCTCCAAATCAATAAATGTATTTCTGCAGACCAAAGGTTCGATACTTTTTGAACACACCACGTAACTTGTTAGTTTCTGCATGGTGAAAGTAGTAGTGTGGATGAAGAAACCAGAACATTTGAAGGAATCCTGGCCAAATCTTATGCATGATTATGAACCAAGGAACATATTCAGTATAAATGAAATGGGAACCATGACAGGGAGGAAAAAAAAGTAAAGAGAGACTGACCACACTGCTTTTTTGTGATTTTGATGATAGTGAGAATTTAAAACCTTTGCAATAGGTAAATATGCCAAGCCAAGGTGATTAAAAACATAAAACCAACTGCCATACCGGTATGCACCCAACAACAAAGCATACATAACAACAATACTGTCGCGCGTTGGTCGTATAACGCGACAAATAACTTCACGCCGTATTTTATATAGCGAATTTTATTTCACATTCGCACTTACAATCACACAATTGACAGTTTTAGAATTACTGCTATCTGCAGTATCACAAGTATTACACTCCAAATGCCACAACACAACTGACTGGTTGCTGGCTAACTCGGAACTAACTCGGAGGTAGTTCGAGGACTCACTCGGCGGTAGCTCCAGGACTGACTGTGAATAGCCTTCGCTGCTCCTTATGTAGCCTCGGTCCGGACCATTGTCGTCTGGTGCCGTGTTGCTAGCCACGCTGTCCGGAATTGTTGACTGCTGCCTAGCAGCCGCGATATCCCTCGGTGACGTCACCGCTGTTGGCTCACTTAGCATAGCTTCAAGGTTGCGGGGACTCGGCTAACGTCGGCTCCGCTCGGCTCACTTCAGCATCCGAAGGTTCCCTGGTGAGATTCCTTCTTGAAGTCATTTCTCCAACGTCGTGCCACTGTCGCGCGACGGGATATCTTCCTGCAGATGGCAGCCAACTTTATCCGGGACGCATGATCTCCTCGGGTCCAAGGTTTCCTGAAGATGTTCCTCTTGCGCCATGCCACTCTTGCAGAGCGGGACACCCTGCTGCTAATTTATTCTGGGGTTCACAACTTTCCCGTGTCGAATTCTTCATATTTCGTTGATGACGGTCCCTGCGCCTTTTATTCTTCAGTTCTCCGGCATTACTTCGGCGTCTTGTACGGGTACCTCTCGTAGTTCTGCCGCCTCAGGTTTCCTGTTCGCTGAAGTCGGCTCTTCTTCTTCTGGACGTGCCTCCCTTTCTTGGCAGGCCATCGTCACTCTGACCGGTATCACTATGGGAACCTCTTCTTGTTGTGCCGTCGCAGGTATCGTGTCCACTGGGCAGGCCAACGTCTCTTCCTGCCAGGCATTGAAGTCGGCGTCTAATTTCATCAGCATGCTATCTGCCTTTTCTTGATTGAATTCTAATCTCGCCAGGAAATGTTCTCTGTCTTTTTTTCTATTGGCCTCCATTTCTTGGTAGGATCTCATGTTGGCGTCCATTCTGTCTTCAAACCGCACTCAGTCGGCATCTGCTTTTTCTCGCCAGGCCCTCATCTCTTTCAGCATTTCTTCCTTCTCTGCCTTCCTTTCTTCCTTCTTCGCCTTCCTTTCTTCCTTTCTATCGGCATCTGCCTTCGCCAGCATTTCGATTATTAGTTGAAGACCTTGTTTCTCCATTTTGTAGCGGTCAAATACTCGATGCACAATAATCCAATTGTTTGTCAGGCGTGTTTAAGTTCGTAAAAATTCTGACACCAAATTGTCACGTGTCTTGAGATCGTATCTCGTCGGTCACGTGTGTAAGTCCAAATCCCACTTGACATCAGTTGTCGCGCGTTGGTCGTATAACGCGACAAATAACTTCACGCCGTATTTTATATAGCGAATTTTATTTCACATTCGCACTTACAATAACACAATTGACAGTTTTAGAATTACTGCTATCTGCAGTATCACAAGTATTACACTCCAAATGCCACAATACAACTGACTGGTTGCTGGCTAACTCGGAACTAACTCGGAGGTAGCTCGAGGACTCACTCGGCGGTAGCTCCAGGACTGACTGTGAATAGCCTTCGCTGCTCCTTATGTAGCCTCGGTCCGGACCATTGTCGTCTGGTGCCGTGTTGCTAGCCACGCTGTCCGGAGTTGTTCACTGCTGCCCAGCAACCGCGATATCCCTCGGTGACATCACCGCTGTTGACTCGCTTTGCATAGCTTCAAGGTTGCGGGGACTCGCCTAACGTCGGCTCCGCTCGGCTCACTTCGGCTCCGCTCGTGACATCACCGCGGTTAGAGTTGCGGGGTGATTACTCGCCTATTACGCGAGCGCTACATTACCGCTACGTGCAGCTGGGGAGGTAGGGGTCAACATGTCACAATACATTCAGACTTTTTAAAGGGATGTGATACAAAAATGGGGTCTGCTGGGAGGAAGGTGAGTACGCATAGGCAAATGTGCAGCTCATCCACGAAATATATAATTTCTAAGGAATGTAAAGGTTATATTCCTGCCTGTGGATTGCACCAGTGTGCTGCAGCCTCTCGACTTGGGCATCTTGAACCGAATGAAGCAAAGTACAGGAAAGCCCTTGTGAGAAAACTACTGCTGCATTAGACAATTAAAAACTGAAGAAGAATGCGCTACAGCCCCTACATGGAGTTCAGTGACTTCTAACTCTACACAGCACTGCTTCAGTGAAGCT